GATTTCAAATTTAGTTTTTAGATAAAGGATAAAAAGGATAAAGCATTTGCCGTTGATCAATCCCTTTTTGGGATGCGGCACGCATTCTACTTCCATTTGTACATTCGCAGTGGCGTTTGAATGCGATGTGGCCTATACAATGACTTGCGGGGGCCAGCCGATGTTCAAGTCAGTGTTTTTATCCTCCCAGACAAGTCTGGTACCAATTAACCGACCCCGGAGGGATGGAAGGCTTGGTTGGCCCGGGCGACTCACGACCCAGGATTTGATCCCCGGACCGCTCGCGTGGGTGAGCGCGCCACTTGTCACTACCCTTCGCCTAGTTTTGTGATAGTTTTGGATATTTTGATTGGTGTGGAAAGTTTCGGCTGTATCAAACTGTGCAGTGCAAACCGACTAAAATAATGAAGGGTATGGGATGCCCCTATCTCATCGTAGAAAAGGAGTGCAGACATTAGCAGATGTACTTTTCAGGAAGTTAGAACGCAATGAACTGGTGAAACTACTGAAATCCTCAAAGATGTTCCCAGACTCAGGGAGGGGAGATGCATCCCTAAAGAATTCTTTTCGAAAAGGCCCGCTCATACCGGTTCTCATGCTCACAGATCCGTTTATTACCATGTATGCAGTAACAAATTGATCTGTGAGGAAGGAAATGCCAAAGGATTGCTACTGCTACGAAGATTTGTTTTTACGATTGGTCTACACTGCCTCAATTTCAGGGAATATGGCCTAAATTCATTAAGGGCATTGAAAAAAGCAATGGTTGTCTAATACATAACTTTTTTGTTTCGTTGTTTCTTTGCCATGCAAGGCTCTTTCCAGTATTTCGTACCTTTTTCGGTACTTTTTGCTGGTTGAATTAGCATTCCCGATGTGCCAAAAGTACACGCAAAATTAATAAATAAATAATTAATCCTAAACTTACGCTGATATAATGGGAGCGTAGGTGACAAGAGGGAAGTGAATTCGCGGATACGGCACGAGATTTGTCTAAAATTTCACTCACTATTGCATTCCAATCGTCCTATATTTACATCACATGAAAAAAGATCACCTGGAACTCCGTGAGATCAACATTGAGTGCGCCATCGAATCGGAGGGACGCTGTGATTGAAGAAACTACCTGAGCGACTAGACGATTCAGATTCGTGTATGTCGGGCTGTAAGAACGATGATGAATACAGACGAGCTGTACGACATTGCTGAGCTGTGACTCACAGTGAGAGGAGATGTTGAAATTATTTTCAAGCTTTGCTTTGTGGACTGCTAGAGAGAATATCGTGCTTGAGAATACCTGCCTACAGAGACCAACAAATGCAGGCACGCAATTTTTCAAAGAACGACTGCAGAGTTTTCGAGAACAAATCATGGATGCTCACAGCCACATTGGTCACACGCAATCCGATCAAAATGGCCTGCGACCGCTTACACAATTGTTACGAGACCAATAAACCAGCTACAACTTGGATTACTAAAGTACATATCCATGCTCACTCCAAAGAGTCGAACAGCTAACAAGCAAAAAGCTGCCCTGATCAAGAGGAAGTATCATACTCGGCATTTGGGGTGCTATTCATTCGAAAATATTCCAAATAAAATAATAATATTCCATAGTGGCCAATTCCAAATAAAATAATAACATTCCGAAATTGGGAGTGAGCAAAAGGAAAGGTTCTGCATATGTAGTGCCTTTTTTTTTCGGAGCCTAAAGTTTTCTCTTGAGTCCCTTTACATTTATTTTTACTACATGACGTAAACCCATCGAAAGAGAGTAGTCTGCATTACAAGATCCCATATCTTTCTCCTACCGTTGTTGCTTGGTTTTCAAATTTTGGGCCTGCGAACGGGTGGACCAGTAGAAGAAAAATTGCCAATGGCTAGCCTTAACTTTATTTTCCCTTGGGAGAGGTCAAACAATAGTGTACCCTCTACTTACTAATGACCTCTCCCTAATAATTCTGCCTCAGGTTGCCCGAAACCCTTGCCGTGCTTCTTTTCGAATTGGGTGACGGATAAGCCGTAGGAACTTTTATACTGAACTTCTTCTTCTGAAACGCCATCGTATTATTTCGAGTAGTGTTTCTTTGTGAGCACTACTTGAAATGATACCTGCTCTATTCGCCCATTTGTTTTGTTTCTATATTTGTTGTGATCAGTTCGGAATTTCAGGTTTGCGCGGTAAGGTGTTTTGTCCACAAAAGTAACCGCATTACTTTGAGAAAAATTTCCCTTGAGATGGTGAGAAAATCATTCAAGCGTACATTCCCAACTTAGTCACGATTTGTTCTTAAAATTCTACTAGTTTGTTTTCAAATGTCTCGGTTTCAAAAAAAATTCTAGCTAGATCTCAAGTAATCGTGCTCGACTGTCGAGTTCAGGGTGAAAAACCTGTAAAAGGAGCAACGCGACTTCTCAGGGAACCTAATAGTCGAGTGTTAAGAAGAGATCATGTGTATGTAGAGACGACATCATTGATTGATTTCTCCTAAGGGATGATAAAGTTAGAGCTAGTTGTCAGTTTGATTAATTTTCGTCGGCTAGACCTCACATTTCGCATACCTAAAATTTAAAAAAACCCCAACAGCGGTGGAAGAGAAACAAGCAGCTTGCAGCGAAGACATTCTCTTTGAGGTGTGTCGTATGGATGTATAAGGATGGGTTTCAGGAGTAAGTTTTACTTTTTAGTTTTGAAAAGCGGACACTACTTATGAACACTTACAGGTGCGGCTCAGTGCAGGTGCCTAAAAGGCAGGAGACAGGAGGGTATAAGGAGCAGGGTTGTCCTGATTGACCATGGGGTTGTTGATTTTGCAAGGAAGTGTCCACTCAAAATCTGATAAGGCTGGATTCCAGTGCCAAAAGTCGACTGAGGTACCTTTTTTGGCCACTCCTGTAGGATGAGGGCCCTTCGTCGGGAAACGAATCAGCGTTGGTTCTGACGTTTCAAGTGAATGCGTACAAGGAACTTATTCATGTGTTTAAACAAAATCTACTCACTCTTTATGATTCACAGGAATGCTTGATTACGAGCAAAAAGTACAACGAAACGGGGCCCCGGAAGTGTAATTTGTACCACATTCACCCAGTAAGCGAGAGGTGCGGGTTCGATCGCCTGCCTAGGGCGAAATTTTCTTAACACAGCAGTCTTGTGAAACATTTACACCGAAGTGCGACGTTAGCATCTGTTAACAATTAAAACAAGTCACCTTCTTATGTTCAATTTTGCTATCGAAATCTCGTAGATGGCTTCGTTGTCAAGCATGAAGGAACAATCAGAGTGTTCAAGCGTGGTATGTGTGGTGAGCAGAGAGTTATACGGCTCCACCATTGCTGTAAGAGTTCTGTATACACTTCCATACACAAATTACCCACTGCCTCTATAGAATTCTCCTACGGATTGTCCAAAGTCCATAATTTGGAGTGCGTTAGACAAGTCTACATGTGGCGTGTGTTAAAATGCAATACAAGGTTCTTATTACTAGCTTCCAACTTGAGAATCAGAATTTTTTTCTGAAAATTTTTGTTCGGAAGGCTACTTTGCGACGTCCCAAATTATTGGGTTGTCTCATAATTCCTGTCGCATTTCTATTCAATTTCAAATTCCTTCCGTCTAAGACCGTTTCATTGCGAAATACGTTAGTATGTTGAAGTATGCTTCAAGTGCCTTAACAGCGTGGTTTCGGAAGCGCAAGCCCTTAACGGGTTAATCAACTAGTAATAAAAATAGGTCAGTGACTGCAATCAATGATTATGCTTTACGATCCTCAAATGAACTCTGTAGCAAGGAGGACAACAGAGAAGATCAGCGCTGTGTTTGACTCAGTCTCTGCTACTGATAGGGTACTGAGCTAGTGGACCAATCGCAACGGCAAAGACGAAACGAGCTATGAACTTCAACCTCATACTGGGCCTGCGGTCATTTTTGATGAGCGCCCCTTGCACCCTAAATTGGGAGTGCCTCCGCACGTTGCTACCAGGGTATTGTAGCAGATACCTGAGCGCAGCCGATGCACCAGCACACGCCATCAGTATGGCAAGGACTGCTGCAGAGTGAAGTTTTGATGGAAACCTTATGGTCCGGCCGACCATGAGCGGGAAGCACGCCTGATCACCTGGGGAAAACCCATTCTTGGATGGCAAAAGCAGAGTCTTCCCTAATCGGTCACCGGTGGAAATGAGTCATGAGTCCACTGCGACAACAACATGCGGCACGTTTTATGGCTGCACCAGCTCAACCAAAGCCCGAACTCCGTTTTCTGAGAATATCGATCTCGTTTTATTGGATTCGCTAGGTGGCCTGGTTTGGGAACCACTTCAATGTATGAAGACAAGCATTGCTAAAGTCAGCGCGGAATAGCCCTCTTGGCTGGCTTTGGGGGTTGCGATTGGGAAATCGTCAGAAGATCTCGATTCCTTCTCCTCCGATAACCAGACCTCACATTGCAATGCCAACTCACCGTTGTGAGGGAGATAGCCAGGGCCACGATACCTCATCCACCATATAGCATTGGCATCGCTCTATCGGACTATCGCCTCCCCTGCGCTTTGAATAAGCATCTGCCAGAGAAGAAAGTTAAAGATTGCGGTCACCCCAAAAACGACTTCTCCATATTCTTCAACCCCCAGTTTCCTTCATTCTGGGCTGGAAGCTTCCAAACGCCCACTAGTAAATGCACGCATATCAGTGACCATGATGGTGGTTATGCTATTAGTCAGTTGTTTCCCAGAAGAGATAAAACTTGAATAAACAAAAGTGTCGAAATTGCGACAGGAATTATGAGACAGCCATACATCCACTCATTGTGTTTTCTATAATTTTTCACTCCCGTTTCGCCAAAGTTTTTTATTGTGCTAACATCGCTACTTCTCAAGGGGACAGTATGATAGAAAATGCTGTCTGACTTTTTAAAAGGTCAGGTCGTCGCAAAAACTACTAATTAGGCAATCGCACAAGATTTTGACCAAATTCACGAGGAGCTCGAGAATTTTTTCAGGGATTTTACATGATATGGAGTTGAGAAGAGCTCCAAGGATCTCCCCTTGCTTTTCGATAGAAACAAAGGCCGTGTCACAGAAGAAACATCCTTTTTTATGAAGCCGTGCTCTGCCATCAAATCTTCTTCGGAACTTAATGTCTCAACGGAACAATGTTTTTGCTTGCGAATGAATCCCAAGTTGATTCTCGAGTGGAAAACGTGGAAGGCATCATCTGTGGCAGAAACCATGGCGAAAATTGAGCCATTTTCACAGAAAGATGCACGGAGCCGACTGGAGTAAGGTTCGCTTTTGCTTGATATGTTTTAGCATTTGTTTGTTTTTCTTTTCGTGCTTTTCTCATCCTTAGTAGCTTTTCTCTTCGCGAAGCACTACCAGGAGAAAGAAAATGGTGAAGACAAAGACGGACAAACAGTAGTGCATAGCAGACAAAGCGATCGTAGTCCAGTCCCTGGGGTGGAGTTATAATTTTGGGACGTCGGCTAAGTGGCCTTTGAACAAAAATTATTAGAAAAAATTCCTGGGATCTCAAGTTGGAAGTTGATGTTTATAGGCAATTTCGTATTTGTATTTGACACACTGCCACATTGGAGACTTTTTCTAAAACATCTAAATTTGTGAGATTTTGGGAAATTCTTAGGTGGAGTTATAATTATGGGACGCAGTGTATGTAAGACATCCCAATTCGCCCATTTCTTGATGTAGGATTTATTCCTGAAGGAGGTCATAATGTCCAACACCGATATGGCAGAAATGACCAGATTGGGTTCGTATTGAAGCCCAGGTTCGGATCTGTGAGCGGTATAAGTGATTTACCCATCCTCACCTTAAATCGCGCGATATTGGTACTGGATAACCTGAGTCGAATATTTTTGACCATCTGCGTACCAGAGAAATGGCAGAGTACCCTTGACGATCACGAGTGAAAGAAAAAAATCTATAAATCTCAGAGTGCGGTTGATGGATGCGGTCTCTTTCTGTAGTTCCATAACTCCAGAAGCCGACTCTAGAATCGGGCACTGGTGGTGGTGTTTCCCCAATATTCATGGGAGCGAGAAAGGACTCTCAGTTCCTTGAAACATTTGGCAGTTTTCCGGAGCCTTCATTAGAGTTAACTGCTGGCAACAATGCAGGATGCATGCAGTTGCGAACGGAATATCATATGCAAATTTTTTTGTTTTTTTTGGCCAAATTTCAGTCAGCTTCAATGGAACTGGCTATCAAATCCTGGATCAATCAGGCCAAACAAGGATTCTATCCCTTTGAGAATCGTCTGTTGGTGTAGTACTCGTCTGCGAATGCAGAAACGCTGACTTGAAGACCGACCGGGCTCTATAGATTATTGTACAGGCGAAACCGCATCCGAAAGTCGCCATGATTTTGAATGGGAGTAAAGTACATGGCGCATCATATTAAGGGAATTAGTAACATTGCACAGTTCATCCATTCATCCTTCATGTACGCCCCTCAAGTGATTGCAATAGATTTCTCCTTTCCAAACGTAAACACTTACAAGTGCTGATTGTTGGAGCTGGATAGATGCTGAACTCGAGCTTCGCCTTCTTTCCAAAATCAACAGACAATCGTTCCATCATCAAAGCAGCAAAGCCACTGCCTGTTCCGCCTCCGAACGAGTGAAAAATGAGGAAGCCTTGGAGAGATGCGCAGCGTTCGGTGAGACCTAGAAACAGTGACTTTTTAGTGCACACACGCTCCTATAATTTAAACTACATCCAAGAACGTTTGGATCTTCGAGATATAGAGAAGTTTATCCTTTTGCTAGTATTGTGCGGCAATAGAATTGCTGAATGGACTGACGTCGAATTCGATCCATGCATACGTCGATAAGCTCCTTGCCAATAGTGTAATGGCCACGGGCGTAGTTGTTAGCAGCATCCTCCTTGCCGGTTATTAGTTGCTCTGGATGGAAAAGCTTTGCGTAGGTTCCAGTACGTACCTCGTCGACTACCGTGGGTTCCAAATCTACGAACACCGCTCGTGGTACATGTTTGCCTGAAAATATGGGTTACAGGAAGACAGAGGGCGCAATAATTACGTCCGGGAATACATTAAGCACTGAGCTGGTAGTGTTGTGCCTCGCACGGCTAAGCGGGGATGGAGGAAACCATGAGTGACCAGCTAGAACCAAATAAATGGGACCCTTTTGTGCTTTGACTCTGCTTGATAGCTGAGAGCATATTATTCGCTGCAAAACGCGCATCTCGCACCCTTAGATGATCTCTCGACTAGGTTTATTATTCACCCTTCTCCGACTCCGGCGGTATAATGGACCCTCTTTTGAGGTCAACCGGGTTTGAAGTAAGGTTGGCAACCAATGAAGTTAAGAAGCTACAAAGACGAAAAACGACT